CGGACACCTCAAGACTCTGGCTCTGGTGGAATCAGTCGGTGAGAAACAAACAAACAACACTCAACACAAACTAAACAGGAAGACATATTACAAGTTTATTTTAAAGGAGGAGTCAGTAGAAATGTTTGTACACATTCAAACTGTGCCCCTCCTCCTGGGCTCATCCCCCCCAGAAGCCCCGCCCCCTGCAGGACGTAGTGGGTACATTTACTGCTTGTACCTTCACTGCAAGCTAACGCACACTAGCACAAGTTAACCGCCGGTGTTTGTCACCTGCCTGTCCAACAGGAAGTAGACCAACTCCACGTCCACGGGTAAAAGACAACACAAGGTTCACCCTCGTTTTAGAACCAGCTTTATCCACTTGGTGTTTCTCCTCACTGTGATTATATTATCTCTTCTTTGCTGCTACGTCCACATCCGTCATATTAACCGGTTTGAATCGTCCAATCTCTGAATTTATCCACTCCTAAACTCACCTGCTGCGCTGTCATTGGCTGGAGGAAACACACCAGCTCTCCGCCCAGAAACATCCCGAGTCAACCAGAACAAAGCAGAACAGTAAAATCCAGTCAGAGGACAGAGTCTCTGCGGACACAGTCACCACCACACATGTACGGAGGCCCAGAAGGGACAATGGAGCAGCTTTACTTGAGGAGAAGTCTGTATTTTATTTTGAAGGAACAAGCTGCTGACTCTGTCTTTAAACATCTTTTTATTGTTATTGTACATCAGAGTTCACTGGAATCATAGACTTCCCCTTTTTGTGCGACATTAGAAATAATGCTGACTCATCACTACACTCACCTTCCTGCGCACATCACGTATCGATCCCTCTATGTAACTTTGCATAATGAGGAAGGACTGCTGACGTCAGAGCCGGCGGTGTCATCAGCCTTTACATGCAGAGAGAGGAAAAAGTGCATGCATGTATCAATATTTAATCTATAATAAAAAATGTATAAGTGACGAGGTGTGTCACGCCTTCACACACATCTTAACGACACTTTGCAAGTCGTCTGGAGCAGAGCCAGACTCGATGAACAGCCGTCTTCTGCATGTGAGCCAACGATGATGCTAAAAGTACGTTTCATATCAGCAGGAACAGAAAAGTAAGAAGAGATCATAATAGACAGATTGTTCTCCAACAGGACGTAGCAGCAGCACAGACTCGTTCTCTGTTGTCTCACGTGTCGTTTGATTCGCTGATCTCCGCGTCTGATGTGATATCGACGTCCGTGTTTGTTGTTGCTGAACGGCCCCTTCTCGTCTGCACCCAAAACAAATTGCGGCGACCTTGGTGGCGCTCTCATTAAGGTGATTGATTGATTGACAAACTTGTCAGAGCACAGCTTGCTGATGGCGGCCCGCTCGCCACCTCGCTGAAGTGCAAATTTGGTATTCCATCGACGTCTCAATTATGCAATCGTGCAGGAACAATTAGCCGCGGCATTTAACCAAATACATAATCAGCACGTACTGTCACAAAGGCAATTACTTAAAGCAAGCAAACAAGCTGCCACCCTCACACACACACACACACACACACACACACACACACACACACACACACACACACACACACACACACACACACTGGGCCCTTGTTATGTAACTCAGCTGAGCTCTCTGCAGTGCTGCAACATGTGTTTGGAGTCTCCTGCAGGCTGCTCCCTCTTCACTCATCATCCTTATCTTTCTATGTTTCTACATCTGCTCCTTCCTGTGTTCGCCTCACACTGTCTATTTCATCTCCTCTCTCTCTCTCTCTCTCTCTCTCTCTCTCTCTCTCTCTCTCTCTCTCTCTAGCCTCCTCCCCTCATCTTTAATTTGTTTCCTCCTTTTTGCTTCTTCTCCTCCTCACCTCTTTTTCGCCATCTGTGTCTCCTCTCCCAGAGTCCATGATCCTGTTGGGCTCCATTGAGCGCGCTCAGCTCCAGTCACTGCTCTCCCAGCAGCTCGGGCGTCTGCGGCGGCTCGAGTACATCAGGGAGCGAGCCGTCGCCGAGAAGAAACGCATGTCGGTTGTGTCAGACCCGGGCAGTGAGGACGGCAGCCATCGGGCCAGTCAGGAGGTCCGCTTCCAGGTCAGTCAGAGCTTCCTGAGAGTGGAGAGGTTGGCCCAATGATCCGTTTTCTCTTCACTTAACGTGCAGAGTAAAGACGAGCACATCAAGTGACCAGGACGCTTCACTAGATACACAGTCAACCAGCTTGTTAGCCCATAAAAGTCTGACATCATCGGGCAAAGCTGCAAATCAAAGAGTGTGTCTGTGCACCGAGGGCATGATGACACAAAAAAAGGTTTAAGATGAAGGCCAACACGAGGACCCGTCTCAGTCCCAGTCCCCCTGTCTCAGTACCGGTCCCCCTGTCTCAGTCCTGGTACCCTCCGTCTCAGTCCCGGTCCACCCTGTCTCAGTCCTGGTCCCCCCCCGCTGGTTCCTTTTCCTTAATGCTGTTCCCTCTTTTGATTCTCACTCATCTCATCACTCCCAAG